GTACTTCAATTAAACAACATGTACAGTGAAAAAAGAACGCACTCGCAGCGTTAACTCGTGACGGGCGGTAGAACAAAAGAAACTGAAACTGAACTGCAACCGGCATCGGTTGCCACGTCGGGCAAAAAGGCGACGCGCATGCGCGAAACAAAATAACTAGCCGAACTAAAAACCGAAAAGTATACATGAACACATGCATATTTTTAATCGCAACACTCCCACTACTTGAGGGTTTTACAGGTGGGGTTGATTACATTAATCTTTGCACGCAATGTTTCAAAATGATCACGAGGTATCGGTTTTGTCAAAATATCAGATTTTTGATCTCTCGTTTGTACGTACATAACGTCTATTTCACCATTTTCGTATTTTTCTCTAATGAAATTGTGTCTAACATCGATATGTTTTGTGCGTCGATGAAATTCTTGATTTTTCGTAAGTCTTATCGCGCTCTGGTTGTCAACGTACAAAATAGAAGGACCGATACATTGTTGGCCGGTATCGCTTAACATTTTGCGCAACCAAATTGCTTCTCGTGTTGCCTCGCTCGCTGCAATATATTCAGCTTCGGTAGTGCTGAGGCTAACTGTGCTCTGACGCTTCGAGCACCACGCAATAGGTCCGCTTCCTAACTCGAATAACCTGTTGTAGAGCCTGGTGTCCTTGTCACCGGCATAATCGGAGTCTGAAAAACCAACAAGCTTAAAATTGTCCCCACTGCCTGCATACATTACACCATGACTATTAGTACCTTTCAGGTATCGAAAAATGCGTTTGACAGCTTGCCAATGGGAGTTGTTATGTTTTTCTAAGTAACGACTGACAAGGCCCACCGCGAATGTTATATCAGGTCTTGAGACCATTGACACGAATAATAAGGAACCCACAGCTTCGCGATATGGGACGTCGTGTGTCTCGTCGTCGTCGGAAGCTTTTGTTAACGAAACATGAGGGTCCGCAGGTACACTAAGTGTTTTCGCATCATTCATACCGAACTTGTTTAAAATTTTATCGATATAATTGCTCTGGTGAATAAAGATTGTCTTAGATTCCCGATCTTGTTCGATCTGCATGCCGACGAAGCAGTCAGCTTTGCATGCGGTAGTGTCGAAACTACCTTTAAGAACACTCAAAACTTCGTTTATAGTTGAAAGTTTGGAAGCCATCAGGAGACCGTCGTCGACATATAATGCTAGATATACATTATCATTATCAATAGACCCGAGATAGACACATCTATCAGCACTACTTTGGACGAAACTATACTGTTTTAAAAAAGTGTCGAATTTTTTGTTCCAACATCGTCCGGATTGCTTCAAACCGTACAGGGCTTTATTGAGCTTACAGACTAAATTATTGTCGACTACATTTAAGCCTTCTGGAATTCGCATATAAATCTCGTCGTCGAGTTCGCTGTTTAGGTAAGCGGTTTTTATATCGAATTGATAAATTTGCAGATTATATCTTGCAGCAATTGATAGAAGCGTTCGAACAGAATCGTATCGTACGACAGGTGAGAAAACTTCGTTATAATCCGTACCGGCTGTTTGTGAAAAACCTTGTGCACATAGGCGTGCTTTGTAACGCGAAACTTCGCCAGATGAAGCAGTTTTTATTTTAAAAACCCATTTATGTCCTATAGGTCTACGACCTTCAGGTAAAGACGTTAGCTCCCACGTACGATTCTGCTCGTGAGCATCTAATTCTTCGCGTATTGCATCGATCCATTTTTCGGAATCATTCCCGGTTACCGCTTGATTATAAGTTTTTGGTTCGTCGCATGAAGCAAAACAAGCTTCGTACCTATCAGGCGCACGCAATAAGTTGCGGTCTCTTAAACCTTGTCGCGATACAAAATCAGGCTGTGGTGCTTCGCATCTAACCTCTATATGCTCAACATTGACGTTATCCTTAGTTTGGTTGCCTTCGGTTATCGCATTTTTATTATTCGAAAATGAAACGCTAATAGCTGGTCGGACAAGCACTGGCGTAGTAGACTCGCTGAAGACAACATCTCGCGAGATTGTTATTTTATTCGTTTCTGGGTTCAATAATCTGTAATTTTTCGAATTGCTTTGGTAACCGACGAAAATAAGTTTTTCGGATTTCGCATCCCATTTCTTTCTAAGCTGCTTCGGTACATGGACATAAGCGTCACAACCGAAAATTCTTACATGGGAGAGATCTGGTTTATTACCTGTCCATATTTCGTATGGCGTTACCGGTTTCGATCGCGAGGACGGGGTTCTATTCAGAACATATACTGCTGTGTTGACAGCTTCAGCCCAGAGACGAGTAGGTAACTGCTTCGCTAATAGCATTGTGCGTGCACTTTCGACAATGGTCCGCATTTCGCGTTCGGAAGCGCCATTTTGTTCCGGAGTGTACGGCGCGGAAAATTCTATTTCGGTGCCACATGACTTTAAATAATTGCGGAATTGGCGATCGGTATACTCTTTACCGTTATCAGCGCGTACTGTAACGATTCTTTGGTTAAATTTGGTAAACATCATCGCCTCATACTCTTTGAACGTGGCAAATAGGTCAGCCTTGTGTCGCAAGAAATAAACATGTCGAAAACCGCTACAATCGTCCTTGAATAATACGAAATACTTCGCGCCACCGATGGACGAAGTTTGCATGGGGCCACACAGGTCAGTGTGGATAAATTCTCCAGGTTTCGACAATCTCTTTTGGCTTTTATCTTTAAATGCAAGGCGATGCTGCTTTCCAAATTGACATTCCTCACAGAAGAAATCAGAAAACGCATGGGACTTCACGCCGTCGACTAGTTTGTTCTCGACCATCGCTCGCAAATATTTACAATTTATGTGGCCTAAACGATCGTGCCAGAGTTTGAGGCTGCTCTCCGTGGCTACATTCGCTTCGCATTTCGCGATTACGACAAACGATAGTTTGAATAGATTGTTGTCTTGCTTGATACCGTGCGCGATTAACCGTCTTTGTTTTGAATAAATGTCAACAGTCTCGTCGCGAAAAACAAACGTATGACCTTTCGCGGTACAGGCGCCGATGGAAAATAGATTTTTTTGCAGAAGTGGGACATACAAAACATTTTCTAATATGCCGTCTTGCCATACTTCGTTTACTAATCTTTTTATTAAAACAGATCCGCGACCTTCTGCTTTAAGAACCGAATTGTCGCCGAGACTCACGGTTACGCCGGCGCATTCTTCGAATTCACTGAACCATTCTTTTCTGAAAGACATGTGCTGAGAAGCGCCGCTATCTAAAAACCACGAATCGTTCGCATTGAGATTGCCAAATAACGAAGCATCGTTACTCGCGACGAAAGCTTCGAGATTCCCGGAACCGCTATTGTGTTTATCACCCGCGTCACGTTTATCACTCGGGTCGCGTTTTTTAACATTTCCCTTTTTTAAACAATAACGAGCGATATGCCCCTTTTTACGACAGTAGTGGCATTCGTAATTCGCATATTTCTTTTGCTCGCTGTTGTGCTCTCGCGGCTTACCCTTTTGCGATTTTTCTTTGTGACGTCTTAAGCTAATGGTCGCTAGCGCGCTCGTCGTCTCGTCGACCTCGTCTGCTGCAGCGAGTTGATTCTCCTCCTTGATGAGTCTTCCGGTTAGATTGGAGATGGTTTGACTGGCTTCGTCGACGCTGTCCCAGGCAGTCACGAAGGCGTTGTACTTTGTCGGTAGAGATCCGAGAATCTTCGCCATGATGGTGACATCAGAGACTGCTTCGCCGATATCCTTGAGTTGCCTTGCCATATTTTCGACCTTGGCGACATGCGCGGCAACGGAATCGCCTACTTTCATGCGATATTCATGGAATCTGGTTGTGAGCAATAATTTGCTCGTTGCACTTTTTTGTTCGTGGATTCCTGACAGTTTTGTCCACATTTCCGCGGCACTATCGCATGTCACTAAATACTCAAGTTGTGGGTAGGTCATCGCGGACGCCATTAGTACCATGGCTTTTGCATTTTTTTGTGTCCAGGAATTTTGCTCTTGCCCTGCCTCTTCAGGCTTTACAGTGGTTCCATCGACTATCGCAAGCAGGTCATTTGCTAAGAAAAGCGCTCGCATCTGGAATTTCCACAGCTGAAAATTTTGCCCGTCGAACTTCGATATGTCTTTAATGTCTAGACTGCTTGAACCTGCCATTTTCTTGATTTGCAAACACAAATTATCACACGCGAGTCAATCAGGACAGATGACTATTTTTCGTGCGAATATATCACAGTCCTGCAAGCGAAAACTTGCGCACAGCTCGAGCAAGTAACACAGTGGTGAGTGAGAGAAAGAAACTTTATTATACTTCAATTAAACAACATGTACAGTGAAAAAAGAACGCACTCGCAGCGTTAACTCGTGACGGGCGGTAGAACAAAAGAAACTGAAACTGAACTGCAACCGGCATCGATTGCCACGTCGGGCAAAAAGGCGACGCGCATGCGCGAAACAAAATAACTAGCCAAACTAAAAACCGAAAAGTATACATGAACACATGCATATTTTTAATCGCAACATGGATAATGCACTATATTTTCCATACTGAACACAAATGACAGATTGATGGGTCTGCATTTTATACACAGGATCAGAGTCTCGCACTTGTATATAGAAAGATAACACATCCTTAAGAATGTGATAAGAATCACTGAGGAGGCCCGCACTGTTTTTCTCTCACACACTGTATATTTTATTTTCTTCTTCTCTCTTGCTCATTCTGTAATATAAAAAAATTATTAATATTAGTACGAGGTGTGATCAAAAAGTAAGGTGACTTTTTGAATTTCGCGCGCTCTGTACACTCTAATTTAAAAAATTTTTTGTTGTTGTGTTGGTACACTCGTCACGATCATATGTTCACAGTTTTGACTATATAGCATGTGTTGTTTTTATGTGTTTTTGCGTGCTCGGCGATTTTTTGCTTTTGAAAATAATGGAGCAGAGAGTTTGTATTAATTTTGTGTAAAAAATGGTATTAAGTGTTCAAAAACTCTTGAAATGTTGATAGTGGCGTACGGTGAGTTAACTTTGAGGAAAAAAAATGTTTATAAATGGTATAAGTTATTCCAAGAGGGCCGAGAAAATGTTAACGATGAACCTCGCTCTGGACGCCCCAGCACGTCAAAAACCGACGAAAATGTTCAGGAAGTGAAAGAAATTGTGTTGAAAAATCGTCGAATCACGATTAGAGAAATAGCTGATGATCTTAACATATCGTTTGGCTCATGCCAATCAATTTTAACGGATGTTTTGGGTATGACACGTGTGTCAGCGAAATTCGTTCCAAAACTGCGTTCCAAAACGTCGTTACTAGTGAGTAGTTTTTTGGCCAAAAACAATACTATCATCATGCCTCAGCCACCGTATTCACCAGACTTGGCCCCCTGCGACTTTTTCCTCTTCCCAAAATTGAAAAGGCCCATGAAAGGACGAAGATTTGCGACGATTGAGGAGATTAAGGCTGCATCGCTGGAGGAGCTCAAGGCAATACCCAAAAGTGCATTTCAGAAGTGTTTTGACGACTGGAAAAAGCGCTGGCACAAGTGCATTGTATCAAAGGGGGATTATTTTGAAGGGGATAACATAATTTTGGATGAATAAATGAATATTTTTTTATAAAAATGAAAAGTCACCTTACTTTTTGATCACACCTCGTATATTGTATTATTAATATATAGGGTGCGGCAGAGAAACTTACTTTTTTGAAAAACGCGCCAAACGGCAAGGGGTGAAGGTAAGAAGCTGGGAGGGGGTGCGTCCGAAAGGATAGGTCCTCAATTTTTGTTCCCCCCACAGCCAGTCTCGATCATGCTTTGGACAAGAGAGCATCGCGCGTTTGCCGTCGAGGCATACTTTGGTAATGGCCGCTCCATTGTCGCCACTCAACGTGCCTTTCGAGCGCGCTTCATTATTCCTATGGGGTTATTTGAAGTCTATTGTTTACAACGATCGACCAGAGACCCTAGCTCACCTGAAGACAAACATTCGGAACGCCATCGCCGAAATACCGGTGGACATGCTTCAGAGAGTGACGCAAAACTTCAGAAATCGACTCAATCAGTGCATAGACAACGGCGGCCGTCATTTGATAGATGTAATTTTCAAAAGTGCATGAAAAAAAATTTGATGAGGTGATCTGTAAGAGGAAAAAAGAATTATACCGATATCTGCAATAGTTTCGTTTTTATTAACCTTTAAAAAAAGTAAGTTTCTCTGCCGCACCCTGTAATAAGAGAAATAAAGTAACTTACTCGAATAGAGGTTCGTATGGTTCCATTCCGAATAGATATTCCAGGTACAGGGGACCATTCTTCCACATATCATACATATATTCCTCCCTATACCACCGTCGCTCGGCGCGTACCGCGCGACGGTGGTTCGTGAAACCACGAATTGTGATGTGGCATGTGCCACATAGACTGTAAGAAGTTATAAATAAAAAATAATTATAAAACTGCCAACGTCTAAGAGAAAAAATAACCTAAACTAATCAGGTTCGGAATACATCCACTGTAGTATTTCCCTAGTTTTCGTATGCAATACTTTCCAAAAATAAAGATCTTGTTCTTTTCAGCTTGAACTTTGGCACCGATTCACCTTTCTTCCTCTTCTTTCCTTCTGGAAAGAAAAAGAAGAAAAATGAACCGATTCAAAAACAAACATGCCTAATATAATATATATCCATACATATAAAATTTTTTTCCGAGTTACAGCTCATAAGCTGGCTTTTATTTTCTTTTTGTAATTATTTTACAAACTTGTGAGCTATAACTTGGAAAAAAATTTTATATGTATGAACATATTCGTATATTATTGACAATGAACTTAATTCCTGCCGTTCGCTGCTAGAGGATGCTAACTCCAATGCTGGCGAGTTTCGACGGTGAAGTCGTATGTCTTTTATAGTTTAGACATCGCTGAAAGTGATTCAATCCTCATAGGTTGGATTTCTTGACGCCAGAGATTTTTCAATCGATTGAAAATGAACCGTAATAAGCTGTTTTTCCGACATGTGTTTCTTCACTACTTCGACCTCTAGAAAACCGCAGCTGAAGCGCATCGCTCATTATTCAAAGTATATGAAATTCTATCGAAAAGAACATGTAGAGTTTGGTTTGAACGCTTCTGAAACGGTGATTTTGATGTGAGAAACAAAGAACGTCCAGGACAGCCGAAAAAAATTTGATGATGTCGAGCTGCAAGAATTGCTCAATAAGAATTCAGCTGAAACGCTTTTAAAGTTGTCGAAAGCGTTAAATGTTACTTTAAAGGCTATCTCAAAATGCATACATGGAAAAGATTATTTCATAAGGAAGGGAGATGGCTCACATGAGTTGTCAGAAAATGCCATTTTGAATCATTTATCTATCGCGACTTCTTTGCTTGCCAGGCAAAGAAAAAAGAGTTTTTTATGGCGTATCGTTACTGGCAATAAAAAATGTATTTATTTAGATAATCCCAAGCGGAAAAAATCATTAGTGGATCTCTCGGCCAACCAGCCTCTTCAACATCAAAAAGGAAATTTACGGGCATAAGACCTTACTCTGCATTTAGTGAAACTAGAAGGGTATGCTGTATTACGAGCTTTTACGTCCAAATGAAATCGTTACAGCTGATCGCTACAAACAGTAATTATGCCGATTGAGTGATGACTTGATACAAAAAAAATCATCATAGCCAACAATCGACACAAAGTCATTTTATTGCATGATAACGCTCGACCGTATGTTGCGAAAAGCGTGAAGCAGATACTTTTATAACTTGAATGAGAAATTCTCCCGCATTCAGCGTACTCTCCAGACTTGACACCGTCGGATTACCATCTCTTCCGATCGATGCAATAACGGACACATACTTCTCCAGTTACGAAGAAGTCCAAAAATGGGTGAATGAATAAATCGCCTCGAAAGATACTGCGTTCTATCGTCGTGGAATTATCCTGTTGTCTATTCATTCATCTTCCTTTCGAAACAAATCAATTTTGGAGACAAAAAAACGGCAGAAATTAAATTCACCACCTAATACATTGACGGTCGTCAGATTCGGAACACTTCTTAAATTACGGTTAAATTATGGAGCTACCAACATCTAGAAAAAAAATAAGCTAAACTAATGGCTTCTGCACACTGGATGCGAAAACGTTTGCCGCGCGGCAAAATGTGATGCGATAGTCAATAAGCTTACAACTCCTGTCACGTCCATAACAATTTAGTAATTATTTTTTTAACAGACTTCAAGTAGCACAGGCACCAAATCTCTAGAGATGTACCTGACCCTTTTCTTCGACACTTACAGTCGACAGAGCGATCAATGAAATGAATTTTTAGGAACGCCCACGGGCAAAATGTGGGAGAGAATGCAGAGTAGCAGCGCGCGTCGTCTAAAGTGGACACGCGCGCAAACACCGACTCCTTCCTTTGTCTGCTCAATCGCTCTAGTTTTAAGAAACCTAATTTCAAATTCAAATATAATTTTTCTTTCTATTTTCAATTTCCAAATCTAAAAGTGTTAGTTCTAACTTCTAAACCTAGAATCATATATTCCAATTCCTATAATCGTAATTCTTCAATTTAGTTATAAAATAATTATACTTTTGCGTAAAATTAATTAGTAGACCGTTAATTAGTGTACCGCGTAAATTAACATTAAATACACGTTTAATTAACCAAATTTGAATGAATCCTTTGGAATCCCCATTTTTCCTCGCCGTAATTTCGATAACATAATCGCTATAAAATTAGTGAAAAGTGATCGTCCGTCCAAGAGAGCAGTTTTGGCAACTGAATTTATCCAGAAAGCTGAAGAGGCCTTGTTGCATCGACCACCTCTTTAACTGGTATTTGAGAGCATCAACTGAGTATCTCTCAAGGTAAGAAAGTCTCTTCTGCATTTGTCAACTTCGCCATCGATGAATCACACGAAGCAAGGAGGGCAGTGCCCTCCATTCCCGCGTTCGCGCACTTCAATCGATACTCGGATCCTATCAGTTAACCCGTACGTCACGTGGATACATAGGTTGTTATGCATCCGCTTTGTTCGACCAACATAAAGAGAGCGGAATAATTAAATGTACTGAATGTTACATCGTGCTACCGATTTCCGAAAGAGAGAATTATTACGGGGTTTTGCGTCATTACATTTGAATTACCCTGAACGGTTCGAAACTTACAACGCGTGCGTGCTAGTATTGGTTACGCTTCGCGCAGTTGCAACTTGCTCCGAATGCCCCAGAGTATTAGAAAGATTTCTCGTATTCTTAAGAGTGACGAAATAGCGACTATGGAATGAGTCCGAATCTACGATCGCTATATCCACCGTTCATTTCTAGCCAATCACTAAATTGGACAACCCCCGCTCGCAGCCTCGTCCGACGCGTGGAATCGCGAGTTTCCTATCCCACTTACAGCCTCAGGTTGGTTCGAAACCGAAGATTGGCCGGAGACGTAACACTTCTAACATGTTCATTAATTACCGCGTCTCATTTTGCCGCGCAGTAGGCGTGTCCGCGTCCAGTGCAGAAGACATAATTCAGTTCGGAATACACTCTCAAGCCGGTATTCGGTTCATAGTCGGTTCTTATTTTCTTTAAGATTATTTTAAGTAATGTCTTAAAATGTTCATACGGCTCTCTGATTGGTTCGTAATATCTAAGAACTGTAAAACAGTCTTAAATATAACATCCGACTATAAATATCGGCCTCAGTGTGTATAGCACTGTATGTCTCATCAGAGTCCATGTACGTACACGGAATCAAAACGACGGACTGGATTTTTTACTAGAAAATTAAGTTCACTATAATTCCGTTCCGTAAGAACTTTCTCTACCCGTTCCATGTAGTCGAAACAGAATGTCACCTCGGTCGCAATTAATTTGTTTGATTTAATTTAGGTATTTCGTCATTTTAATGCGACTAAATAGTATAAATTTATGGAATTATCTTACCTATAATATCACGTTGAATACTCAAAAATACTGAACTATAAAAGCAAAATATATTTTGTTATCAAAATTCTATTCCGTTCCGGCTACATGAGCGGTAGAGAAAATTCTACAGAACGGACATGTTCAGCTAAGGGTGCCATCCCATTAGCCCATCTACAATAGATTTTTAAGTTTTAAGTCATAAGAAATGGACGAATCACACTCGATTATTTTTCTCGCATTCGGCTATAATTGAATAGTTTCTTAATAGTTTCAGCTTAAGACTTAAATCACCTATTGTAGATCCGGACTTAAGCACGGATCGGATTTTTCACTAGAATTGAGCATTCGTTCCAGATCCATTTCGTAACAGGGCCCCTATTCTTGAAAAGAAATGTATATAAAGTCTAGGGAAATACCACAGTATATGTTACGTATATTATAGTATTATCATAGAATTTCGTATACGTCGCTTCAATCATAAGTAGATTAGGCTGCTTTCACATGCAGCGTAACTTACATAAGCGTAATTTGCGTCAACCCATCAAATTGTATCAAATTATATCAGCTACTACGCTTTAAGGTTCCTCACTAGTCGCGACGGCAATTTATGTTGTAATTATGATGTCAAAAGCGAGGAATGACACGTTAATATATATTGTTAATAATGCACGTCATTTTTTAATAAAGACAATTTGAATAAAACAAAACGACGAAATCGCTTTAAAACACTTGTAAAAATCGATGAAAATTGTCCTTTTCTCCCTTGACAGTGGTCAAGGGAGAAATAAATGGTCGTAAAAGGCATGTAAAGTGAGCCTATAATCGAGCAGAAACACACCCGACAGCTGTTGAAACGAGTAAAATGTACACTTTTACATATAAAATTCCAAGATAACTTTAGTTTTTATCGATAATTACGACTTTGATAACGAGACAAGTCATATTTTCATAATTAAGCAAATAATAACAAAATGGCATGCAACCTAAATTTCGTCATCAAAACGTCACTTTTCCACACCTATAAGTTCAGCCATTTATCGTGGTGCGGCGTTGTAACACACATATAAGCACGAGCCCATATACGTGTGCTCGGCACGTCAAGAGTAAACGAGATAGCGAACTCTTTCTCACACTAGTCGCTTGTTTGCCTTCTTGGCAATCTCAGCCGCTTGGCGGCCCATAGCATCGATAAGTGATAAGGATCATTCTAAGTAACATATAAGTTTTAATAAATTGTAGTAAATGTACCCCTTCCATTAATCCAGAAGTACAAGATAATATAAATCATGTTAAAACGCAACAGTTTATGAAATATTTACGATTTTTCATGAGCGTTAAATATCTCCTTCATAATCTCGAGTAGCAAGAATAGTTCAGTAGAAGTAGAATTTTAAAAAAATTATAAACCAACATTTCTCTTCACAAAAATCTTCGGAAAGCCACCAGAAAAGAAATGCGTATGTTCGAGACTCAAGACTTGTGAAGAAAATATGCGAAAAAAAATTGAATAGTTGCAAAGAGCACGTTTTTTGCTTATAAAAAAGAAAGATATTGATTATATGGAAAAAAATTCGGTATGAAAAATATAGGTATTCGACCTACAAAAATGAATATCTACAAAATGATACGTGGAACATTAAAATCGATATATTAGTTCAATAAAAAAAAACTTAAAAACACCGAAAAAGGTCCTTTTTTCACTCGCTCTCTGTTGTGAAATTTAAATGCAAAGCTTCGAAATTTTCATAAAATGTAGCCCTTGTAATGACGAACAAATCTAGGATGAAACCGTTCTATCATGACATTAGAGACGGGGTGATAGGCTGTGGTCCTGATCTTCTCGGCACCTATTAGACGGACTAGTGTCTGAAACAACATAGATTCAAATTGGGATCCACGATCCGTAGTAAGTACAACTGGTGCACCAAAACGTGCTATCAGGATGTATAAAAGGCCATTACGATGGTATCCGCACACGCCGATGATGGGAATCGCCTCAGGCAATCGCGTGTAACGATTGATGGCGGTGAAACAGTACCTGTAGCCTTTGAACAGTGAAAGTGGTCCGACAATGTTGAAATGGATCTGATAAAATCGGGAATCAGGAATCTTGATGTGTTCCGGAACATTTTTGTTGTAGCGCTGGATCTTGACGCACTGGCAGGATAGGCATGTCTTCACCCATTCAGATAAATCTTTATTCATTCCAGGCCACAAATCTTTGCGCGATGAGATTGATAGTAGCTCGTACTCCCGGATGAGACAGGCTATGTACTGTCTCGATAATTGCTTTGCGCAGGGAACCGGGTACATATGGTCGCACGTCGTCCTGAGAGATGTCGCAATATACTGTACGATTCGTTTTATCTAGATGAAGTTTCCGTAATTTCAGGCTGGTATTAGAATTTAATAATGCCTTGAGCTCTTTGTCGACGCTTTGCTCTTGTGCTAGTTCGTCCGTTGTGACCACGACTGGCATATAGCGTTACTGGCACCTGACATTTAGATAATTTTCGTCGTAAACTGACCAATTAGGTCCAAATGTCACAGTTGTCGTGATGATGCCTTGCTTGACTTCTGATCAAAAGCGTAGACCAACGGCTTGTAATCGATTGCCGAACATTCGTGACCTTCGGCATATGACGGAAATATTTTACAATATTATAAATGACAAGCAACTCACGGTCGTAGGCGCTGTATGTCCGTTAGACGACAAAGGACTTCCTGGAAAAGAATCGTAGTGGCATCCATTCTTCGTTTTGCAGTTGTTGCAATGTGTGCACCCATTGCCGTGTCTGAGGCGTCGGTGCAAAAGAGCAGCGGAGCGCCTTCTAACGAGTGGGCTAAAAGTGCGGCGTCTGAGAGCTGCCATTTGCATTCAGTGAATGCATATTCGGCTTCAGGGGTCCACGTGATTGGGCGCTTGTCTCGTTTGCTCCTGCAATGATGATGTATAGAGGTACTTGGATGGTAGCATCCTTGACAAACCTGCAATAGAAATTGATTAGGCCATGAAAATGGCGTAATTCCGCTACCGCCTTTGGTTTTGGATAATCCGCGACAATCTCGACGCGTTCCTTTATTGCTGGTGCCGTCTTTATTGATGAAATACTTCAGATAGCGTACTGAAGACGCATTAGATAAATTAATAGATAACCCAATCTCTTTAAGACTTCGCGGATGTGTTGTTCATGCGGGTCTTTTGAGGCAATTAGTATTGTACTATATACATTTAAATGAATTAATTTCAGAAATGATAATTGCGTGCCGATATGGTTATCGGACTTTCAACGCAATCAATCTGAAATATTAATAATTCCCCTAAATTTCCCAAATCTTAAAAAATTATAATAAATTTATTGCGAAAAATATTGCCTCGGCCGGGAGTCGAATCTTTTGCATTTCGTACGAGGCAATATTTTTCGAAATAAGTTTACAGTTTTTTAAAGTAATGTATTTAACATAAACGGTCTTGTTTCCAATCATATTGTTAATAAATAACATTTTACTTCGAAATAAAATTATTTTATGAAGGAAAATGTATCACAATATCTAAATAAAAAAATCTTTTGAGACGCACGTTAATGAAAGCTGTAATTTTTAGCGGTCAATAATATAACATTATTTGTACAGCTATTGAACATTACATTTATATTTTGCAACCGCACTCACGAGTGTGGTGCAACTTCGTCGCGCGGTCGCAACTAATTTTCTCGCTTATATAGTCAAGTTGCATGTAACTTCAAAAGAAATGCGACAGAAATGTATCTTTACGCGGCCACTCTTCAGGGCAACGCAAAATCTTGAAACTGATAGTTGGGCGCCAGGCACGAGTGAGCGTGCTACTTTCTCAAAATCATTCGGTATATTCTCTATACGATATTCTAACGAGCTGCGAACGCGGACGGTACTCGTAACCGGTAGCTCAGCCTCGGAAATGGCAGAGTGGGCGGTTCGTGGTCGAGGATAGAAGATCGTTTGGAGAAACGAATGGCGACGGCAATAAATCACACTATAATTAGTAATAAAAAAGAGTAACAAATATTTGATTAATCTTCGACTTCGTTTATACTCATTGACAAGATCAGTATTCGGCGACAGTATTCAATCGAAATGTGTTATTTTAACTTGTGCCTCGCACAAGCCGATATGCTCTACGCGGTGCGTATCAATTACGCTAACTCTCGGCGGCACGAGCTCACGCCAATAAAAATATTTCTCGCAAATCACGCGAACAATAGCTTGACGCCTTGATAGCTGAGATAGGAGACGATTACGGTATTATCGCGACCTCGTGCTCGTCCGTGAGACTTCAAACCGTTCTACAGAAAGTCAGCAAAGATAGAGTACACGCAGACACTACGATATAAAATTCCGATACGACAATACAATTCGATACGCGACAAGATTTAGCGACAATGACTAGGCTGTGGCTTAGGACGCGAATAATAAATCTCCCGAAGAACTTATAATGAGTCGTCGCGGGAAGCAACAAAAAAAAGTGATAGGACTCAGGACGCTAGAACTGCGCTACTCAGTCGGGCCTTACGATCTTTGTGGCAGACGAAAAACGTCACAACTTATATAGCTATTAAATAATATATATATGTCTATTAACACTTGTTATCTATATTTTACTATTGTGCGTTAAATACATTTATACATGTATATTTTATTTTGATTCTGCACTTTATTAAACCTAATAAAATAATGCAACATATTCTATCTCTATATATGTCATATTCTATCTCTCTATTTCTTTCTGTTTTATCATCGTAACGTGACTGTGTTTCGATTTTTTGCCATTTTACTGGCAGAGGTACGCGTGATGTTTGCTGTGCGAGTCTCTTTGTCTATCTTACGGAAAAGATAGGAAGAGTAGGGGTAATTAGCAGTTCATAATTATATAGTCAAAGGCCTCGTACATTTCTATGTATTCATAACCAAAAAGTTTGTGAATCAATAAAGGTATATTGTTAATAAGAAACCGTCGTGAGAACAATCCACTCTTCCATATAGACGCCACATATTGATGACGTGATCTCGGTAAGAGACGTGAAGGACATGTGCAACAAGAAACTATCGCGCCTATGTCAGAACACTCGCTTTTTCGGTCCCGACTAAGGGTCCACCAACAACGGAATCGTATAAGATGTCAGAACATCAGCAATCTTCCGCCTGTGATTAGAGGCAGCGAAGGTACAGGAGGTCCTGAGGTAGCCGGCATCAATTCCCGCCAACTGCGACTGCCGCCATTTTGCAAGAACAACCTGTGACTATAGTTCGCACATATAGAGCTCGCTTTTCAGAATCATAGAATCTCAACAGACGCAAGTAAATTCCGATATGTAGCAGTACAGATGTCTGGTGAAGCGCTCGATAGTGTCTCGGACATCATTTTGGACCCTCCGAGCGAGGGAAAGTACAACGTCCTGAAGGACCGCATAACGTTTTTTGATGAGGGCGACGAGAAGCTACTCTGTCGCCTTTCGCCATGGGAGACGACAAACCATCCGCGTTGACTCAGAAATCTGTCTGCTGAAAATTGCAATGAACCGGTTTTACGATCGTTGTTTCTTGAGCAATTTTCTGCGCAAGTCGTGTGGCATTGTAAGCGTTAGTTGCGTTAGTGCGGCGCTCGAATCAGTTCTTTTTTATGGATTTTCCTTTCTCTCTCTCTCTCTCTCTCTCTCTATCTATCTCTCTGATGTCTTGGCGGTTTGCGTGCGGAACCTTTTGTAAGCCTCAGCGATAGATTTTAAGTTAGTGCTCGGTAAGATTAATTATCACTTTATGTTCATTGCAAGATCGGCATTGATTACTGCTCACGTCATTAGATAATTACTCGCGCCTTCAGATGTTTATATTGTAGATTTTTTAATTTCTCATATTCTAACTTAGTAATGCGATACCGATATCCAAGCTGTCGTAACGCAATTACGTCTCTACTCTTTCGATCTGTACGTTCCAAATATTCATTTGAGTTTATATTAAACTGCCTTATGACTTGTAAGTTAGAAACAATGATAACATTTCTTTGTGAACTTAGTGATTTCTCGCCAATCTTCCATCGCCAGTGCCCATACACGCTCGGCGTCACATTGAGCACAGCAGTCACAACATAACCTGTGCTATTTTAGCGGCCTCTGGTATTAAATTTGCAGCGTTTTACTGAGATGGCCGATGGCAGTGGACGTCGTAAACCCAACGATTATGGCAGTTGACACGCCAGGAACACAATCGGCTGTCAAGGGTCAGCG